GCACAGGTTCTCAGAGCGGGGGTGGGTCAGGAAGCAAAGTCCACACCCAAGCAGCATTGCTATGCTGGGACTCCAAAACTGCCCCAGCGGAGCTGCTGCCACCATGTGTGCTCTGCCTGCCCTGGCTCTCTTGCTCTTAAGCTCTGTTTTGGAGTTTCTAGCCCAGCGGAGCTGCTGGGGTACAGATTCCATGCCCATACAGGAAAAGAGATGGTTACCTAGGACACTGTAAATAACCTGTTCCCTACTAACGTTACTTCTCTGTGAATGTTTTTAGGTTATTATAAAGTGGACTTATCAAGGGTGCTGAAAGTATCACATGAATGAGATGCAGAAGTTTGGTCTATTTCTTTCTAAAGCAAATTGGACTTTTTAAAATTGCAGCATGTTGTTACATAATTTAATCTCATATAATTAAGGATACTCACATGCACAGAAAAAAGTATAAAGTTTCCCAGTGGATCCACAGTTGACAAAATGCTCCAAAATTGCACAGATCAAATGTGTAACAGATGTGGAATAGATCATTTTACAGCAAGGGACAGAAAAACCTAATGGTTTATGCTTCCCTAAAAAAAAAAAAATTATCTTTTTGATTAAAATGTTGTACGTAAATGAAAGCCAATAAGATTATTAATTGTAGTACTGGATTTCCATTTCAATATTTATAATATTGGCAAAAACATATTAATAAATACCACCTTTAAGAGAGAGAGAGAGAGAGAGAGTGTGTGTGTGTGTGTGTGTGTGTGTGTGTGTGTGGAAAAGAGTGGCTAAATGTAGGCTGTATTATAACAAAACCAGTACGTACAGTAGATTTTAAATTATCTTTTCTTTCAAATTTTCAGTATCATAGTTACAACAGTTCAGTACCTGTCTGCTGCACTGCACAAGAACTTCACAGAAACAGACTTTGATTTTAAGGTAATGATTGGGTTGTAGACAATGTTATGACATCCATTAAAACCAGCAGCCGCACGGGCACATCAGCAATTCTACATTAACTGATTGTATACACCATCAATATTTAAGTGTCTGCTGAGAAAACAGTCCAGCCACCATGGAGAGGTATCCAAATCTAATGGCATTTTGAGGGTACTGGAAAATCCTAGAAGACTAGCAGCTTTATTAAATTAAGTGGTTTGGGCTGCTTATGTTGATTATTCCCTACATATTTCAACCTAAGGTCATTCACAGTACACTATATGTTTTAGTTCATGGTTAAAAAAGTGTTCATTAAAAACATTTAAAATTACACTGAGAGCACCAATTTTTCCCCCTTTTGAGAAAAAACAAAGTTGAACATATAAAGAGGTAAAAGGCCAGTGTTTTAAGCTACTAGCTGATTTCCACTAGTATTGTATGAATCCAGGTTTCATTTCATTTATTTATTTTATTTAGTTTCATTCAGTGTATCTTATATACATACCAAATAAGTTATCTAATTCCATCTGTAAAACAAATACGTGGCATGTATATTTGTGTTCATAGACATGCCCATACACTGATTTAAAACTAGTTCTGCCTTTAATTGTCATGTTTTAATTTTCTTCCTGTTTTCTAGGTGTGGAACTCCTATTTTAGCCTGGCAGTTTTGTTCATAAATCAGCCAAGCCTCCAGCTAGAAACTGCCACTCCAGCCAAGAGAAAGAAGATTCTGGACAAGTAAGAACTTGCTCTCCTAACCTCTTATTGTTTCCATCACAAATTCCCATAAATTAGTGGGGAAGTTGCTTTATGAAATCATAAATGGAGGTCACAGGAAAACTTAGTTTAAATGTGAATTCAGTTATGTTAACATCATTGCCACAGTTAAAGAGTAGCATCTGTCTCTTCTCTTTCAGATATGGTGATATGCGAGTGATGATGGCATATGAGCTTTTCAGCATGTGGCAGAACTTGGGTATATCTCTGTACTATTCCTGTTCTATCTATCACACCAAAGTTGTCTAAGATTTGCATTAAACATTCTCATTTTAGTGCTATAAAAACACAGACGTCAAGTTAGTTCCCCTAGGAATTTTCAACCAAAGAAAAATTGTTCTTTCTGCACAGCTTCAGAATGCTTGTTTTTCTCTTTTGAAATATCACAGTTTTATGAATTTAAATGCCCTCCTCTCAAATATTAGTGACATATCTCAAGAACTTTTTTCCCCAATATTGTACTGAATCAGGATTTAGAAAATTCTGCAACTGTGCTGCAATCCAGTCTAGCACTGAGCTATAGTTGTACACTCTTTCATCTGATCCGTGACTGCACAGCTAAATTTAAAATCTTTATATCTGTGTCCAGTTTCATAAATTGCAAATGTTACAACAAAATGTCAATGTGATGCAGAATGATGCAATGCATATTTGTTAATAATGCACAAATGTGGCATGCAGGAAAGTACATACTGTCCCAGAGTGCCCTCCTGGGGGTGCTGTGGACTTGTCTGGTTTGAGAGTACTCCTTGAAGCCAACTCAAACCTAGCCTCTAGAGCAAGATGGGAGCCTGAGCTGCTCCCTACTCAGACCCAGGCCTCTCAGTCTCACTTTCCCTGGTTCTCTGTGGCCCTGTCTCAAAGAGCCAGCATCCAGTTCTTCTCCTAAGAAAGGGACTTCACTCGTGCACCCCACAGTTCTAAACAGCACAGCAGATGGTCTCTTCAGCAAAGGTATTTACTTGGGCAGAGGCCAGCCAACCAGAGGTTCTCTGCCCCCTCCAAAAGGGTTGTGGTCCCTCCATTCTACAGCCCTGAGCACCCCCAAAGATCTGTTCACTTCAGCTCCCCAAAGTTCTTCCACTTGTCTCAGTCCACAGACTCTTCAGGCTAGAAGCCATCAGGATACTTATTTTTCCAGCCTGCTCTTCCTTTTGTCATCTGTATCCCCCTGGGTGTTGACCATCTCACCTTTGCTGATATATAGTCAAAGCCATTCCAAACTGCTTAAGGTTCATCTGGTCCCCTCTACACTTAGCCCACTCTGGCACTTAACCTCTCGTTTTCTGTGCACAGGCCACGAAGGTAAACTGAGTCGCATAATATTATAATAACAATGTGAACAAAGTTAACAGAAATATAACAAACCACATTGTTAATCACACATGCCTATTTATGGGTACTTTATTTACATATCTAATAAGAATAGAAACAAATTGCATGTTACTGCAATTTTAAAAAATCTAAAACTTGTCCACATTAATGCACAGTTATTACACCAATTATAGCATATTTAGGCATTTGGCTTGCTGCTACACAACATTTTAATTAAGAAACTAGTTCACTATAAATCAATATTGTACAAATTAAACAGATTAAAAACTGGCTAATGGAAAGGACAAAAATGTAATTGTGAATGGAAAAGTATTATCAAGCAATGGTGTTTCTAGTGAAGTGCTGAAGGGTTCTTTTTCTTTTCTGTTCAACATTTTTAGCAGTGAAATAGTAGGAAACTTAAAACATTAGGGGAGTGGGAAACAAATGAAAAGTTCAGCATACTGATACAGAGCAGTCTGGATAATCTGGTAGGCTGGACACAAGCAAGCAACATGAGTTAAATGGCCAAATGTAAGTCACAAATACAGAACCAAAACTGTAAGCTATACTTACAGGATGGGGTATTTTTTACCCTGAAAAATAATGACTCTGAAAGGGATTTGGGGATTACAAAAGATGTCAGCTAAGCATTAACTCAAAGTGCAAAAGTGTGACTAAAAGAACTAAGTCATACCAAAGTCAAATGGCTGAAAGTTGAAGCCATACACATTTAAACTAAAATAGAGCAGACATTTTTAGCTGTGAGGATAATTAACTACCGTTGAAACAACTAAGCAAGGGTTCTGGTTGATTTTCTTATCATTGATTTTTTTTTTAAATCCAAATGAGATGTTCTTATTCAAACAGGAATTCATTCAGGGGAGTCCAGCGGCCTATGCTAGTGTTTTTCAACCTTTTTGCAGTTGCGGACTCCTAAAAATTTTCAAATGGAGGTGTGGACCCCTTTGGAAATTTCAAATGCAGGAAGGGACCCCTTTGAATTGTAAGTGTGGGTGCTCACTTTTGACTGATTATAGTCATTTTTTGTGGACCCCTTAGACATAGTCTGCAGACCCTCAGGGGGCCACAGACTACAGGTTGAAAATCACTGGCCTATGCTATGCAAGAGGTCAGACTAGATCTGGGATCAGCAACCTATGGCCCTCCTTGTAGCTCTGTCTTGCAACTTAGGTGCTCTGGGAGGGGAGCAGGGGCAGAGCTATGTGGTCCCTGGCAGAGAACTGAGTCACAAATTCTGGCTCTCAGCCACAAAATGTTGCCAATCCCTAGACTAGATGTTTACAAACAACTTTTAGCAGTCTATTGTAGATTTCATAGCAGGGAGGATAAGGATCTCTAAAGCTAAAAACAGACACTGGATTTCTTCTGAAACAAAGCCATTTATCCTGAAGTCCTGCAGTTTCAGAAGGCCAACCCTTTTGTCCTCCATTAAGTGCCTATGAAGTATCCAAATTAATACTTCATTTCCAGCAGGACAGTTGGGATAGTTGTGGTGGTGACAGTTTAGTTAATTGTCATTCAAAATGCCTGTGTAAATAACTGTTCAACACCCCTTTAATGAGAGTCAAATCAGCCCCAGATTAGTCTGTTTTTAACATTAAAGATGTAAAGCATCTGAATGATCTATTTGGGAAGGTCCTGCTTTGAGCAGGGAGTTGGACTAGATGACCTCCTGAGGTCCCTTCTAACCCTAATTTTCTGTGATTCTGCGTGCATGTCTACATGTTGCCGTATGGTGATGTTGCTACGCCGCCATGCTTTAGTACTTCTTTTTGGAAGTAATACCATTGTTAGATTTCGCCGCTACATTGCTATAGTGGCACACTATAACTGGGGAGTGCGCCGCCACGGCAACATAGCTGGTGACCACATGTAGACCCACGTGATCACTACATCACTGTAGTGCACATCTCTATGTCACTATAGGGCAATGTGTAGATGTGCCCTATGTGTTCTGTTAAATACTATTAGTGTCATACCCCCATAAAAAATATTCTTAGCTGCTAACACTTCTGAAACAGCAGTGGGATCTTTCAGTCCATTCTGACTGTACACATGTATTTTTAACAAGCATGTGTATTTTTGACAGGACACACAAAAATAGATTTTGAATACATTTCTCTGTAAATGAAAATGTTCTGTAATTTCTGTTGAAAGATTTATAAATTAATAAAAAAGGTGACCATGCAGGCTGTGGCCTTGATTCTTTTGGGGAAACGATGTGTTTGATGCTTTAAGGCTTAATGCAGGAACAGGTTATATGTATAGAGTCTCACTTTTTTCACAGAAGGAGTGATACAGGAACAAGGCTTTTACTAAATTTAGATTGTTTTGTGTTGCCCAGGGGAACATAAAATTCATTTTATTCCTGGAATGATTGGACCCTTTCTTGGTGTCACGCTGGTCCCACAGCCAGAAGTCCGTAACATCATGATCCCCATCTTTCATGACATGATGGACTGGGAGCAAAGGAAAAATGGAAACTTCAAACAGGTAGAATTACTTTCCTGTTTTTTTCAACATCCTTTGTTGTTTTGCTCTTCGGTAAGGCTGGGCTAGAAGCACAAAATTCTCTTTTGCTTTTTTGTTTCTAAGTGTGAGGAGGCTGTTGTCATAGAGACTTTTTTGCTATTGTAATTAAAAAGTAACAGTTTAGAAAACTGCAACCAGAATCCCCAAATTATACAAACATTTCAGTACTGCATCTGCCAAGTGATAATTTCTGCCATGAAGGTGGAGAATGGTGACCTCTTCTGGTCAGGTTAATCCCCCTGCACCACCTGCAAGCAGCCTCTCATGCTGCTTGTTCCCTTAAAGGACCAAGCACACCCCAGTGCCCTGCTACATTGTTACGTTAGTGCCTAGGAGCTCTAGTCATAGATCTGCTTTTGCTAGGCACTGTATAAACAAAAGACAGAAACATTGTCCTAGATGCAAAGCGTTTACAATTTATGCATACAAAGTCTCCCTTCTATGTACTTCTCTAGCTTCTGCACTGTTTCCTTATCAAAGATGGTCTCAGCATGGTCTTTTGCTGTTTAACTGTCATTCTCATGAATGCACTGTAGACTCAAACGTGCAAAAAACTCCTTCTTGGGCTATTTATGGAACTCACTGCCACAAAATGTCATTGAAGTATATACTGTAACTTACTAACACTAGAGAAACATTAAACATTTTGTAAGAGTCAAAATTAATAGAAAATAGAATAATCAAGGTCTGTAAATCTTATGATTCAGAACATAAGGAACTGGAACCAAAGCAACACTTGCCCTTATGATATAGTATTACACACAGCTGGGCAGGCATATTGTGGGCTTTTGCATTCCACTGAAGGATGCAGTGTCAGCCACTGTCCAAGAAAAGATATTGTAGAAGAATCGTTGATCTCTTTCAGTATGACAGTATTCTGTATGACTAAACCTCTTCAAATTCTGCTTTAATTTGAAGTGCTTCTAATTTGGAATGTGTTAGTACACCATAAATGTGCAGTCCCTCCCAGCTAAAAAAGTCTTAAAATGTGTCAGAGCATATTCTCTATCCCAAAATCACTCCCAAAACTGCCCCCTACTCCAGGCCCAAACCAGCAGGAAAGGATAGCATGGTGGCATGGTAAGGCTGCCTCAAAGACAAAGAAGGATAAGGAAGGAGATCCAAGGTCTGTCAGCAATATGACCAGGTTAGCAGGGGAAGATTCTGATATGTGATGGGGGTCTAGGACTAGACAAAATGAGATGAGGAGGCAAGAGGAACTGTCTGAGACACAAAGGTGTGTCCCTGAGGGAGTTGTTTGGGTGACTGGAGGGTGGAGGGGAGTTGGTATTCTCATGTGTTGGGGTGTTGTTTGGGGAAACCCTGTCTGTGGGTTGGTTGTTTATTGTAAACAAGTCTTTTGGATAGGATAGGATGTAAATCTGATCAATCAATAAATACATAAATAATAGGGCTGTGTGAAGCTTCAGTTCCTGATTTGATTCGGCTGCCGAATCTCCAAATCCAAATTGAATCAGGAGACCCTTTAATCTCTCCGAATAGAATCGAAACCCTCCGAATTGATTCGGAGAGATTTAGACAGATTTGACGATTCAGACATAGACACAGCTTTAAATTTTTTTTTACATACCTCTAGGTAGCACATGGCTCGTGAATGCTGCGATGCTGGGACACATGGAATGTCCCACAGAAGTGCAGGGAGCTGCTCAGCAGCAGAACCAGAAGTGGACCAGAAGCGCTTCCAGTCCACTTCTGGGTCTGCCGAGCTCCCCCCTCCCCCCCCCAGCTCGGCAGCTGGTGCCTGCTAGGTCTTGGGGAGCACCCAGGGTCCCCCAGCAGCTGATAGCTGAGCCAGCAGGCTACGGGGGGTGCCCCCTACGTACTTGGTGGCTGACCCGGAAGTGGACTGGAAGTACTTCCAGTCGCATTTCTGAGTTCACTGCCGAGCATGCGAGATACCTTGAAGTATGTAGAAAAAGCATTTAAAGCTGTCTGTGTTCAAATTGCTGGTTCTCTGAATCAGCATCAACTCTTCAGATTCAGATTCATCCAAATTGAATTGGGGACAGTGATCCAAATCAACTAATTGAATCACTGTCCCTGATTTGGGCTGAATTCAAATCCGAATCAAATACAGCCTGTTTTGCACACCCCTAATAAATAACCCTGGCCCAGGGAGCAGGGAAATATCTTGGTTTGTTTTACATCTGCCCTCCCACAGACTAGGAAGTACAGTGCCTGCCTGTGCAGGCAGTCCTTCCAGGCAGCTGTTCCCTGATGGGTAAGTTGGGCTGATGATAGCCAGGTGGGATGATGGTGAGCTGGTCAGTGGTCTTCCCTGCCATCATTGCCATCCAAGTGGTGCTGTCTTGAGTGCTGGGATAGTTCCTACTTGGGGGTTCCAAACAGGTGAAGCAGTCCCCCCACCCCCACCAGCATAGGCACCAACTTTTATTTTTGCCGGGGGGGACCTAAGATGATGGACATGTGCCCCCAGCCCCCCAGTGTGTGGGGAATGGGGTGGGTGTGTGAGGAAGGGAGGGTGTGGGCACAGGTGACACATGCAGGGGTGGGAGGGGGCACAGGTGATATGGCAAGGGGGTTGGGGGGCACGTGCCCCCTGATATTCTGCACCCACAACAGGGCATCGGGTGCAAGGCTGCAGACAGGCCAGACCAGCTCCAGGCAGGTGCTGCCTCTGCAGCCCAGCAGGCAGAACCTGAAATTGAATGGGAGCACCATGCTGCCATGGATGCCAAGGTGAGGCACCCCCTGCCCACTCAGCAGCAGCAGAGGCACAATTCTGCACCGCTGCCACACCTCACCTAGGCAGCCGTGGGAAGGTGGTACTTCCTCCCTCTCTGGATCCCACCCACTAGGCTGGGGAGGCAGCTTCTGCACAGAGCTGGTCCATCCCAGCTGTGGCCCTGCACCTGTGCCCCACTGTGGGTGCAGAAATCTCAGGAGGCATTTGCCTCTCCCCACACCACATCACCCTGGCCCCATGCCTCTCTCTGCCAAATCACCTGTGCCCACCCCCACCCTACCAATGCATCACCTGTGCCCCCCGACACATCGCCTGTCTTCTCCCCTTTTACCCCATAGAGGTACCTGGAGGGAGCTGCAGGAGCTATTCTCCACCACTGCTTGGCTGCCTTGGCCTAGAGCTGATGCAAATCACAGAAGTGCCCATAAGCTGCTATCTCTGCCATGATTTATTCATATATGGCCTGGTTTTCATGGTCTTCCTAAGGATGCTCTCCTTCTCCCAGATGGAAAGGTGATCCAGGACCTCCCCTCACTTCCAGCTGGTGGAGTGTTTTACAGATGCAGACATTCTGTGGTACAAGTCATTTGAATGGAGGGTGAGAACATGCTGGCAGCCTTCATGCCTAGCTTGGTTGAGGTCACACTCATGGCAGGCTGTGGCCTGAGGGCAGCAGAGCTGGGAATGAGTCACAGGGGAGTCATCCCAGGATAGTTAAAGAAATAGGAAGCAAAGCAAAGCATCTTGATAGTTGGGGTGCCAATTATCTCCCTGTCCTGCTCTGGTGAGGAGAACAAACAGCATGTCAAGTGCTTCACTGGGAAGTGCTTCGGAGTTATTCCTGTTCCATTCAGGGTCATTTTTTATATGGCTCAGTCTGATTTGTAGCACTGTAGCATTGTGTGTGTTGTCTGACCCTTCATTTTTATAACTCTTTTTAAGGCACTTGAAGGACCAGAAATGTCTGTCCATGTCCTGAAAGTATTCTTCTTTATGTGGGCAGCTGTCAAGTACACAGTAAAACCTGCCCAAATATTAGATTCCTCTTTGAAATTTGAATTTACTATGGAATGGAGTACAGCAGATAAACAAGGTTTTCAGAAATCAGTTGTTCTTAGAAAGAGAATTCAGTCCAAGAGATGATTCTTTTTGTTTTTGCTTTTGTTTATCTTTTGCATACTAAACTGATTGCTAGGGGACTTTTTAAAGGGGAAAAAAACTACTTTCAAGCAGCTTTTATGTTCTTATTTTGTAATGTAAGGTAACTTTTTTTCCAAGGTCACTTTTTCAGATATTGAATAACAATGCAACATGATTCATTTACCAATTCAGGTTTCCACTTAAGGTCTTGGTAAGAAGATTCTCATTTTCATTTGTGTAATCACTGGCTGGTTTACTTTTGATTCTCATTTGCTTCAGTTTCATTTTGGCCTCTGAAAGAGACAAAAAAAGAAAATTACTCTTTGCTTGTTATTAAATACACACAAGCCATTCTCGTACACAGCATTTTTTTACTTTTAAAATGCTGTTTTTACTAGGTTTAAAAACACCTCATTTTTTTTTTTTAAAAAAAACCTCTTGGGTTACAGGAAACCATTGGTTAATATTAGCTTAAAATAATCATTGTATCCCAAATCATCAAATAAGAATATACATAAGCTGTTTTTTCAGGATAAATATTATTATGTTAAAGCAAATAAGAATGAATACATAATAATGATTTATGTAAGAAAACCAAAATATAATAAACGTGCTTACCAAAAGTTAAAGGAAAACACATAATTTAATCAGAGTCTTAGTAACATTTGCCAGTTTGTTTGCTAGATCAGGGGTGTCAGACATAAGGCCCATAAGCCAGATCCGACCCATGGAGCCGCTTTATCCAGCCTGCCAGGCCATCAGTGTGGATGAGCAGAGTAGCCTACCACAAAATGTTGATCAGTGACAGGAGGGTGAGCAAGACCTAATACGGCCCCAGTCACCCTCCAGTCACTTTGCCAGTTGCCACTGCCACAGTCCTATCTCTGCAGCCACCAGCCCCACCTTTTTGTCTTGTGCTGGAGATGGACCTTGAGCCAGAGCTGTCACCACCACATGCTCTGATCCAGAGCCAGAACTACTGCCACTGCATGCTCCAGTTCGGACCTAGAGCTGCTGCCACTGTGTGCTCCAGTCCAGAGTGGTGGCAGCTTCCTCATGCCCTGGTTCAGAGTGGCCCACAAGGAGCCTCATGGTTCAGATCCAGCCCAGGGCAGAACGTGATTTTGACACCCTTGGGCTAGTATTACTGCAGGGTAATGCTAAGGTGATTGAATCACTGAGAACTGATTACCTTCAGTACTGAGATCCATTACAGCATATAGACAGTGATGTTGCTATAGATTACTTTCTCCACCTGGCTTTTCTTTTGCTCAATAAAATGAGACTCCAGCTGATGCATTCCTTCATAGGAAGTGTGCATGTGGGCAGTGTTAAAAAAAACAAGCAACTAGACAATAAAGACTTCTGTGAAGAAAAAAAACTATCTTTTCAGGAAAGTCCATGCTCAGGAAGTGGATAAGTGAACTTGGTATTCCCCTTCTTTCAATTACACAAATGAAACAGGTGGCACTCAATCTGAGCTATGGTTTAAAATGTTTAAACAAGATGTGTTTTATTTCAGGCCTTTTTATATCAAGGCAGAAATCATCCATCTATAAAAGGAGGAAACCTACAGAGCATGAGAAATGAACCATAATGTATAATTCCTCTAGCCTTCTTGATGTTTGGAATTTACCTTTTCTACAAACATAGATGATTTCTAACTAGTCACGTCTCCCTGATCCAGGTGGAAGCTGAGTTGATTGATAAGTTGGACAGCTTGGTATCAGAAGGAAAAGGAGATGAGAACTACAGGGAGCTGTTCAGCCTGCTGTAAGAAATGCCAATCTCTGTTCACCCTGTATGTTACAAGATTGTTTTGGCAAGACTATGTGAAAGATTAAAAGAACTGGTGTGTTCTGAAATAGCAGCCATGGAGGTGACTTTCCTATGATGACAGTAAAACAAAGGGCCACTAATCAAAAAGAGGAATTTGAAAAGGCTTACCACGATTTTTTAACACCCATGAAACTATAGGAAAAGCTAGTGTGTTGTTTTTTGCGTCTTCCCCTCTCTGAAATCTAGTGCTATCCTGGATAGACAGCTGGTTAAACCAAATAGCCCACCTGTGGCCTCCACCCTTCTGATATACAGCCAGACACAGTAAAGGAGCCAGTGCTTAGCTTTGTGTGACATCAGTAGGTAAAATAAGAGTATTCAGACTGTTCAGAGAACCAGATAAACCATCAAGCAGTTCAAGACAGTTCTGGGACATGTAACATCACCCTCCATTTTTTCCCTTTCCTGATCCCTGTATTTGAATGTCATGCATTAAGTTAACCCCAAATAGCTGAAAACTGCTTCCTTTATAACCAGCCAGTATATTTTTCCAGTCCCTTCCAGCTGGATATTAATGCAAAGATAACCAAGATCTGGTCTCCTGCATTGTTACTTCTGGATTTCTGAACAGTCTCTAAATCAGATTTCAGATGTCCTCACTAGATGCTGTGCTAGGTGTGAGGGAACTTATTTTGAATCACTCTGTGCTGTCTCTTGAGTTACCAGTAGATCCCATTAATTGCTCCAGTGACTCTCTAGTAACAGAATACTAGCCAAATTTGCAGCAAAATCTGAAACTGGCCCCCATTTGCACGTAGCTTGAAGTATGTAAACATCTATCTCTGTACACTGCTGGTTCACCAACACCCACATGTGTACATTATAGAATTCCCATCTCTCCATCATTCATACATGCAGGTAAATCTTTTAATCTGCCCACCCATGAGTTTGTATTTAGAAAATATGCACAAATATTTTAACATGCCGCAGTGGAAGCCACTGAAAGATTGGCACCGTGCAACTAAAAATAACAATTGTAGTTTGAAAGAAAGTCATGAAATGTCATTACTCCTTGAGGTCTGGGAAGAACAATGCTCCCTTTTCCTTTGGTACAGTTGATGACATCTCATGCCTAATGCAGTTCACAGCCTGAAAGAAATACTGCTGATTGAATTATGTTAGTGGGTAGTGATTACGTGCATTGCAAGGAAAGACATAACTCTGAACTCGGATCTTGAAAACCCTTTAGTTCACCTTTGAAACCACATTCCATTCTCTACAAGACTCAGCAAAAGTTCAAGAAGCAAATCCCTGGAAAAGTCAACACTGATGCAGTTGTTTATCACTTATTTCCCCACAGAGTTAATACTATGTCAGATAATTAGTTCAACATAAGACTCTTGAGTCTCAACTGAGATCCATTCTTTACTCTGCTGCTGCAATGTGCAGGTGAAAGAAAGTAGGTATGTCCCCCCAGTTGGAAGTTCTTCCAATAAAGAAGTGTTCACTTGAAGTGTACCAGCATTGGAGTTGGTGGCAGCCCTCTCCTCTGCTATCAAATGGCTAGTGAGCTGATCTGAAGGGAATAAGCTACAGAGATTAGCCTTTATCTGTTATTTTTTAAAGAATTCTCTGACTAAGATTCTGATGCTACACTTCAACATTATACCTTGAGCTGTAGTTAGTTTTACAAGGCCTGCTTCAGACCACCATACATACATGCTACCCCCACTTCTTACTTTGCAGAGCAGTAACAGGATGTTTTTACATATTCATTTTTAGATAAAAACAAATTGTGATGCCAGATGTTGATGAGATTGCTCATTAGGTACCAGCATTTATTAGAGTGTTATTGAGATGAAATGTATTACATGAAGTTAGATTCTTTCTAAAGTGCAGCTTTCCATTTCTGCAAGCAGCATTTTGGTATACTTACAAAAGCTTGGGACCCAACTCTTGCCATATACCGTGTTCTCTTCCCAGTGTCTGAAGTGGGGATGTGAGGGGATAATTTGCCTTTTGCTGCTAGTTTCATAATGTCCTTGTCTTTGCCTCATGCTGCATGGAATAGAACACAGCTTTTTGGGCCCTATCCCAGGTAAGACTGTGATTGTGTGAGTTTTCTGTAAAGGAGAGAAAATTGCCCTAGGGTGTCTTCAGGCTCCATATCATTTCTATGGAAGTCTCATGTGTTCTCTTTCCAAACAGCCTGCTGGAGAAGATTGAACAAGAAACATGGCGGGAGACTGGCATTTCTTTTGTTACATCAGTCACGCGCCTCATGGAGCGTCTTCTTGACTATAGGTAACTGATAACAACAGTACCATGCTCTGACTAAATGTAGCCTAATACTCTGCAAGAAGAAATCACTACAGAATTAGTAATGTGCCAAATGCGTTTATATTATTCTTTTATTCTTTTTTAAACTTCCAGTTCTGTGTGGTGTGGAGTAATGTGAAGGCAAGCATTATGCACTGTTTTCAGGTCCTGAACTAAGATAGTGAATATAGGCTTTGGGTCATAAATTGAGAGTAAGATGTTCTTGCTTATTTTATGTTCAATCCTTATAAAAGCTAGCAATGAATATAAAGGTGTGTGTTCAATCCAGATTGTGACAGTGTGGCTGAAACACCCTGCCATGAGAACCCAAAGGAGAAAACAAAGGAGACAAACTTACCAAGGGATGCCGGGGAAACCATGGTGAGCCAGGGCAGGAAAGACGCCACACCCTGACCAATTAAAGAAACCAGCTGGGGCCCCTGCAGATCAAAGGCTGTCATGGAAAACCCAGCTGCCAGGGTTTGAGCCCGGAATAGGGAAAGCAGCGTGGTCAATGAAAAGAGAAAAAACCACGCTGAAAAGTGGAAGAGAAGATAGCTGGGTCAGGCAGGCAGTGAATGGGAGTCTGCCATGGCGGACCCAACTGGACAGAAACGAAATTTAAAGGGACGCCAAGGGAGCGTTTGGGGTTGGGATGAGAGAGATGGAGATGAGGCGAGAAGAAAGAAGATGGGAGAGATTGCAGAAAGAGAGAACCAAACCCAGGGCTTAGAGGAAAGTTCCAGTCCCCCAGCTTACCTAGTGAGAGCCAGCGAAGAGTCTGCTCGGACGGTGAGAGCCAGCATAGAAGTTGAGGAAACTGCTCTGTCAGTGAGTCCAGTTCCGGGGGGTGAAGGTAACCACTCTGGGAACCTGGAGGAGAATGAAGACACAACTGAGATTGCACCCCAGGAGGGGTGAGTCCGTCCCAACCCTGCAGGTAAGGGTGGGATTAGAATTAAGAAGTAGCTGTCTTGGGACCCGTGCAGGGAAGAACAAGGCAGGCAGCCAAACTAAGAGGAGGACTTCAGTGAAGGGGTCCCTAAGACTGAGACCAGCTTATCAACATCAGAGGCGAGTAACAACACACCCAGAACATCTGGTATGATTAGGGCAGGGTATGGGGATGGTGGAGCCCTACGAAGACAAGTCGACTTCTTGAGCCTATAACCAACCTTTTGTCTCCCGAGAGTGTTTTGACACTTCTCTCTCAAACATCAAAAACGTGGCAGGAGATTTTCCGAAGGATGAAACACTACCATCTCAGCAGGGAGACGACTCGGCTCCAGGCGGCATGCCATTGACCTCCTACACAAATGTTTCAGTTTCTGTGGTTGGCAATGGAATTGAAAGACTGTAGAACTTACTGCAAATTGATTAATTCACTCAACTCTTGAAAAGAATGCCCCATGCTTAACTTAGGAATGTTCTTAAGTACTTTGCTTAATCAGGGCCTGTCTTTGTTGTGTCCTGTATGCCTAGTTCCTAGCATATAAGGTAGATATTCCATCAAGCTGAAAAAAAATCTAACACAGCACTTACTAATCTTAGTTTCACTTATTAAAAAAATTCTAACATTTTGATTGTAAAGAAACCCTTAAAAGTGCAAATTGAATATAAACAGAAGCAAAGTTGTTTTTCTGCACCTGCAGGTAACTTGGAACTATAATGAACTGCCCAGTTCATCTCAGTAGGCTATTACCTCTGGAGCCAAAGGACAGTAGTTTATGTAATAGTTGGTTATATCACTACTGATCACGTCAACAGAATACCTGTGTAATGTGCTTATTCCATAGTCCCAAATTCTTTCCTATGCTGTCTCATGTGCCAGAAACTGCAGTTGTTTCCTGCAAATCTGTAAAAACCTGCAGTTTCCTCTGGTGGTGATTGTTGCTGAAGCAGCAAAACAAGAACTGGATATGCTTTCACAAGGGAAAATATAGGGATTTGAATTTACTATCAAAAAGGTCAACCCGTGATCTACTGCACTTATGTAGTGTCTGTTTTCGTTGAATGCAGTAACTGACGTAAAATGTTTAATTCCAGTGAAGCTGCAGCAGAGCTCCCAGTTTATCACACCAACATGCAGTTGAAGGATGGGCCAACACCAGAATATACAGGGCTATGGCTAGAGTTTCTTCAGCATGACATTTGTCAGCAGCACAAATGAATCTAAGTCAGAGGTGTAACTGGCTTGGACCATGCCCTGAGAAGTGCTCCCTTCTCATTGCCCCATATCTAGAGGGAGACAGGGCCCCCCGCACCCTGCTCTGTTCTGGTGCACCTCCCATTAGGCAGTGCCTGGGACTTGTCCCCCATTTGCTCATCCATTCTTACACTACTGTGTCAGATATCTGGTTAAGTAGCTCCCTTCCCCCTCCCCCCCCAGGTCTTTTGCTCCTCCAGCCACTCTCGGTTTCAGGGAAGAAGTGGTTACCACCTCCTTTTTTTTCTGACCAGCCGATTGTTTTCTCCTTCTGTAGAGGAGTATATATATCTGTACACATATTTTCTGTTTATATCCTCATAGGACATCAGCCTGCCGGCTGATGTCAAGGATGAGTCCCAACCAGAGGTCCACACGCCCATGATCTCTCCTGCCACAACTTGATGTTTATGGGAGTAGAATTCAGTACCTGGGCATGTAGTTCCAGTTAGTCATCGTTCTCTGTCCTATGTTCTAGAGGGCTCCACCATCCCCTACACCCTCACCTGTTGCACCAGGTCTACCATTGATAATTTGTCCTTGTACCCCTTTTAGGGTCTTTACAGTACCTTTCCTCTGGAGTGCCCCTCTATTAGGGCCTTTACAGTATTTTATCCGGCCATGCTCCTCACGCTGCCGGCAGGATCGTCGTCTGTTCCTGGTGCTGCCACTTCACCAATCCTTTATCTAAGTCTTCTCTGGGGAGCTCCCTCTCTGCAGGAGCCTCCTGGTGGCTTTCCAGGTTGCTCTCAGGCTTTCCCACAGCATTGTTTGGGCTGGTTCCACTCCTTCCAGTCCTGCACTCTACCTACCTACCGGCTCCAGGTTCCTCTTCATACTGAAGTTTGAATTCCTGGCCCCTCCCCTCCAGAAACACCTAGGTAAGGAGGATTTCTGCCAGGCCTTTAGGGGCCGTGGGGCTGGGGCAGCTGATTCTATCTTTAGTATGTGCTCCTTGGCTCCCTGTGGCCCTCTCTCTCTTTCACATACTGCTCTAAGCAAGGGTACTCTTGTAAGTCACACACAGTATGTCTAAAAGTAGAATGGAGGACGTCGCTAAATGCTTCTGACAGCTCAAGTTGTCTAGCCACCAGTTAGTTGACACGGTGGGCCCCAACAAACTGTTGTGTCACTGGTTTTAAAAGTTTTTGTCTCTTCTTTGCACATTCAGAGTTTTTCACGCCTCCAGTAGGTCTTTAGTGCAAGTGGTTATAGGTTACGGTGATTTGATGCTTGTTCAGGTTCCTCTTTAAAATGAGAATAGCAATCTAGTTCAGTTCCTAGTGTATGGATATGCACAAGCAGCACCATAATCAACACTGGCCATCTCCACAGAAAACAAAGCTTGAAGGGACCCTGAAGAATGACTGTCCGTTTCCCCCCATCTCCTCTTTGTAGATCCTTCCAGGTTAGGACTGAAGCATGTTGTAGTGGCACTGCTACTACCCATACTGCACTGGGTGTATGGACAAATAGAAATCTCAGTCTCTAGGGCTGTCAATTCCACGCCTGTTGAAAGCAAGAAATTAACTTCATAAATAAAATTAATTTGAGGGCTAGTAACTTAATTAGGCCTAGAATATATTAACAGTTTTCCAAGAGGTGCTTTTTGATATACATGTCATCATTAACTGTTGTTTTGGCATCAGGGAGGGAATTGTGATGATAAAACAGCTTCATTTTAGTTTAAAGGTACCCTTTAACAATCTGATTGTCTCAACTGTGTTCTACTTTTAAGGGACTGCATGAAAGGAGATGAAACAGAGAACAAGAAGATTGGCTGCACCGTTAACCTGATGGTAAGAGTACTTTATTTTTCTCTCTTTCTTGACCTCTACCTCATGGTTCCACACATTGTTTTGAGTCTGAAGTGAAAAAGGTTAGAGGAGTTGCTATGCAGAGATGATAGTATGTCAGCATCCCAGAACTGAAAATGTAGAAGTCTTTTTCGTTGTGAATTTACAGTAGTGTATATTTAAGTGATTCCACAGAGACAGGAGGTGAGAGAGCACAGCATATTGAGCAAACTGGCTCTTAGCAAAGGATATTTTTACAAGCAGAGGCATTCATTTTCCCTTCATTCTGTGCTGGACATGCATCCCTCACTTATACCTCCTTATCTCTGTATGTAGAGCTGGCTGAAGTTATATACCAAGGATGGTGAGGGAAAGAATAACAAACACACATTTAAGGGTTTTCACTTCCTTCAACACATGCTTCCTTGCTCTCATATTTGTAGAGAGAGTGTGAGCCCGGTTCTTCTCAACTTTACACTGATGCCAAATTCCATGTACCCCCGCTGATGTTAGTGGAATTACTTCTTGTTTTCGCAAGATTAAATGAAGATTTGGAGCTATTCTCTCATATCATCAATGCATTCTTTCTATAATATACACATAGCTTCTGGAACTAGGAGGTGAAGTGTCTTAGGGTTATCTTTTTAATGCTAATTTTCATGTTCTTTTACAGAACTTTTACAAATCTGAAATTAACAAGGAAGAGATGTATATCCGCTACATTCACAAGCTGTGTGACATGCACCTACAAGCTGAGAACTACACAGGTAGATAAGTTTGCTCTATGCAGGATTTATTAGTGGAATCCAGGCCAGAGGAGTGGAGTCTCCCAGCATTTGTTTGTAATATCCATTGAATACTTTTCTAGGAAATATTTTGAAGATTACCTACTGCAGTTGGCAGACTAACAAGCTTTGCAGGAAAATGGCATGGGCATAGAGAAGCACACTCATATTCCATAACCCAGTTCATAATGGTTTACATTAACCTTCTCTGAAATGAGAGCTGATCCAGAAAGCATAGTTTTTTGTTGTTGTTTTTTTTTTTAAGGAGACGTTTAAAATAATTAGCTGTCCAACTAAGTTATCATGGTAGTTCCAAAGCATCCGTCCCTCAAGGGTAAATTGTAGGATCTAATTCATAATTGTTCAGATTCCCTGTTTCTACCTGCCTTGAATCGCAGGCCTCAGTATTAGCATTTACACATGCCAGTACTTGATTGTGAGTATACAAGAGCACAGTAAACAGGAGGCTGGGATCCAGACCAAATGAACATCTGTGTCTCAGTTCACAGTGACCGAGTGCCAAAAGAACATAGCTTTTCATTGTTTCCTTTTTCAGCCTTTTGCCTAACAGTTCTCACACTTTCCTGAAAGATGAATAAAATTAAAGGATAGATCCTGATATCTTCTAGAACTATTTTCCCCTCTTCTCTTTAGATATAGCATTTTTAAAGCTGTTTTAACAGGCTTTGAGGGGTTTTCTTAAAAAGGAAGAGTGCCCAAGTAGTGTATGGCAAGCAGTGCCTTTCACATGGAGCTGCAGCCTTTGGACAGTTCCTGTTTGCTGGAAGAGCCCAACTAGTAAACTGCTCAGGTGAAAGAAAGAGCAGTGCTGATGTCTGCAGCCACATTTTCATGCCACCTTCTCTCAAACCTTCCTCAGGTAGCTTCAGCCTCATCTATATATGCATTCCATTTAAAAGTATTTTAAGGGAACTTTAGTTTTTCCTAGAGATTCCATAATTAAGATTACTTGTGCATCTCTTCTTCTCTGTGTGCATATTGTTATACCATTTTAATTATATAACATTTTCTCTCCAGCTAAAATGATAAATCAGTGCAATTTTTACATACCCTTAGAAGCATGTTTAGTATCTTCTGCTGTTCTCCACTTTTTTGCATACGCCAGACAGAGTCCACAAAGCTACTTATAAAAAATATACTATGCAAGTTGGAAGAAAATAACTATGTGCTGCAGTGAAATGATAAGTTATAAAAACATCTGCGTAGACTTCTGATTTATACCCCAGAATTTAAGTACTACCTCATCTAGTTACAAAAATAAATCTTTTACTTTAACAAATGCCTTTATAATACAATGTATAATTGCAGGAAGACTCTCCAGAGTATGAATTATAATGTTTTAATTCACTCTGTTGCCTAGAGGTCACGTAGCTTTTGGTTTCATGTAAGGCAATAGGTGTGTATTAATTCCCCATCATTCAAGCCCTATTGTTTCATATCACTAATCAACTTGCTCTGATGGCTTCTAAGAAAGAGTCTGGTTTGTAACTAATGCAAGCAAGTGAAGAAGGTGATCTCCAAACAATAACTCAAGGAGGAAGAATGCTGAAGGAACTTTGTGGATGATGCTTCTGTGCTAATGTTCAGGATTGACAGAAGCCACAAGCATTGTTAATCATGTAACCTATCCAGGAGGTTTGTATAAGAGCTGGAGAAAAGTTAAGGGCACACAAGGAAATGAATTATTAAATCAGCAGAAGCCTGATATGTTGGTATGTTTCTATCTCAGTAGTAAGATACAAATCTATTTCAAACGTGCATATATCTTCATAACTTGATGATCTAGGAGTCAGAAAAATACTGCAGATGTGATAACGTGAACAACAGTAAAGAATCTCTTCCCTTCAGTCATCAAATGATCAGAGAAATGTAATGAATAGCAAAATTAGACAGCAGTTGCAAAAGCCCATCCATACTCCCAGCTTAGCTGACAGGAGGGAATCCATCACCATTTTCCCCTGTGTACCCAAGACACGTTATCCCTGTTATGCGGAAGCATTTCATTTTTGATCCACTAACCAAGTGGCTTCCATCTCTCTGATTTGGTAGAGAGGAGTACTTGGTTTTCCTCCACTGTATTCATTACTGTTATTCTATATATACATTTTTCATCATAATTTGCTTAACACATCAAGTGCAAATCACACCTATCAGTTTTATTTATTTGTAGTAATTTACTCAGTGTTTCTTGATGATCTTCCAACAGAAGCTGCATTTACATTGCTTCTGTACTGTGAGCTGCTTCAGTGGGAAGACAGACCTCTGCGAGAATTCCTGCACTACCCATCTCAATCAGAGTGGCAGCGTAAGGAAGGACTGTGCCGGAAGATTATCCATTACTTCAACAAAGGGAAGGTATGCCAGTCACCATGCTTTTCCAGAAGCTTCCTTCCCTGTCCCTGACTTACTGATGGCCTCTTTGCCAATCACTTCTGTCAAGTAGTATGGGTATTAAAGGATTTTATGTGACCAGTTTTCTTTCAGCATTGTAACCTAGGCAGAAAAGAAAGAGTAGCTGAACAAAGGGATGAAGGAGGCTATGCATAAAACTCACCAATAGTTTAGGGAGCCTGCAGGAAAGTGGCCAACAAATTTTTGTGGCTTCAAAACAGCTCCTGAATCAGCTGGAGTGATTGAGAACCTTGTGAAGGCCAGTTCCTCTGCATCTAAAAATGCCTTTTTAATTTTGTAAAAGACTCTAAAAATTGCTATTTACATGTTATGATTCATTTAAAGATTTGGCTGGTTCTGGGCTGCAAGAATGACTGTGAATGACTGTGGAATATAAGAGATTCAAGGGCACACACCTACTCCCATGCCCTCCTGGACTGGTGGCATGTGGCAGCGTGCAGTGGAGGGAGCCCCCTTCCCCAAGTCCTGCGGCTCCGCACCCCAACTGGGCAGTTTGTCCCAGTCCCAATCCCTCCCTCACTGTGGAGGCGTTGATCTGCGCCCCCCTCCACATCTCTTCCCTCCCCACTCCGCCCACCATAACACATTTACCAGTGGGAGGGAGCTCTGTCCAGCATCCTCAAGGACTTCTGCCTCTGTAGTCTGTGGCCGAATCTCTGAATCAGTGCCGAATCTTCGTGTCTGAATTGGCTAAATGGAATCGGGCCAATGATTCAAATCACCAGATCAAATCACTGACCCTCCAAATCGACCTAATACGAATTGAATACTTGCCACTTTGCACAGGCCTAATTCCTAGGTCTTAGAACCTTATAGAAAGACTAATGGAATTCTTTGAGTGTGTAAGGTTTTGTTCTTTAACCAGTAAGAACAGTGGCAATAAACACAGATACAGAGCATGGGGTTAACATTGCAGTTTTTTCCTTCCTGGTCACAGCTGATGCAGGACCTATGCTTTGGCAAAGACATATACCCTAGATCTCTTAAAAAGGGAAAAGCTGTCTTCTGTTTGTTTGGGGAAGGGGCATGCCATGTTTACAAAGAATATGTTAATTTAACAAGGATGTGCATAGCGTTCAGAATCTTGTTTGTATTTAGTAATATTGATTAATTCCCCCTCTGTACAGCTTTACCTGTTTTCAGGATTTAATAGACTATATCTCAAACATGCATCAAATGATTAACTTCAGCTCCTTTCTGAAGCTACCTAATTAAGCAACAAGAGTTCTGAGAACATATAAAGAAGCTTAAAATGATGTCAAAATGGGATATTTGATATTTGGTTAAAGATCAATATGCTAGATGTACTGTAAATTGTATGAGACAACATATCAACATTACTGCTGGTTCTTTTATTATTACTATGCTCCTAGTTTTCTTCCATGTGGATATATTCAGGCTTGTCTATGGATGTATGTCATCTTTATCTTAAACAGCAAGGGCAAAATTCTGCTTTGCCTGCTTATGTATCTAAGTCCCAGCCACATTTTATTCTGCTTATGCATATGTCATTCAAGATTTCACCCTGCATATAGTGCATAAATTCTATGTAAAGCTGTAAAGCAGCAGGAAGAGGAGAGCAGAGGAATGCCTTCCCACAATTTAGGCCATTAACCAGGTTGCAGCCCCCAACAGCCTGAAGGGATATGAAATTCCATTTCTGTAGACCTGTTTGGAGAATCAGCCTTGTTATGCTGTTAAGAGATCTACAGTTGTTAAGCTCAGGAGAGCAGAAAATGCAGGGAAAATGTAAAGGAAACTGATAAAGAGAGCCATAATATCCTGCATCAAGTAGTGTAGAGATTCTTTTTTTAATGAAAGTGAATGAAAATCTTTTCTACACTCATTACTATTAATTTTCTAGTTACTATACAATCTTAGGATCAGATTCTGACGTTCATGTTTACACTGATATTGCTCTCAGTATAGTATTCTCCTGTTTACAGTTGAAATATCTATCTATTGCTGTCATTAGTCCAGTAGCACAGCAGACCCCAAGCAAGATTGGGGCCCTATTGTACTAGGCTGTGTGTGTAAACATAGTAAGAAACAATCTTCTCCCAAAAGACTTATGGCATAAGTACACAGGAAAGACTATCAGCATACAAAGCTTTTATCCTCCTGGCTTTTCCCAACAGTTTAAAGAAATAAGAAAGTAATCTCTCTTTCTCTCTCTTCCCCTTTCTTAATACATAGCAGTAGGAGTGAGAACTTGAAGTCAGTAACATTTGTGTCTAAGAGAGAGCTTGTATATTGTGTAAACATCTTAATTAAGGAAATTTAAATGAAAGATATGTATTTTGAATTAAATTCTGAATGTACTATGGTCAGGAGTCATTCGTCTTTTTTGGAAATAAGTTCAGTAAAATCACTGTAATTCCTGTGAAAATTTTCCCTGCATTCAAAACTCATTCCCATTGGTTGACAAGTTCAGTACTTCACTGGAAAGTAGCAGTCATGGTGTTACATAACTTACCAACTGCTTGAAATGACAAGCAAGACTTTATGAGGGAGATAAGGCAAGATGCCGTGTTTATTGATTAGAATATTCAAAAGAGTGCTCATTCATTCACACACACTTGCTGTTCGGATATTATAGTTACCAAAGTCCACTGCTCAGTACTACACTAGGTGGCCAGCCTAAGAGTATGAGATGAGGAGCAGGGCCTCATACAGACATGTGTCTGTGCTCCAGTGAAGTATGCAGTGTTACCCAACCTCCTACTGCTAAGTCTCTCTCCCCTTTATAGGGGGTATCAAATTGGTATTGAGTGACCGGTTCTACCTTTCTTCACTCGGTGCCTTCTTTGTTTGAACCCCAGTAATTTTCCACTCTGGCAAATAGATGAGTTTACTCGGCAACATTCTGAGTGTTGTCCTTCAGAGCATCTGGCATATCTCAGAGCCTCCTGGTTATCTCTTTTCTTCTTGCTGTGTCTGTTACAAGCTGTATCTTCAGCCTATCCCTCGAATTCTTTTGTCTTTTGGTAACCTGTCTGTCTGCGCCTCGTTTTTTCAGTATTTTCCATTCACTTCACACTCGTTCATCTGTATGTGCAAACTATAGTCTTACAAAGTAATTGTTATTCATCATTTATACTCTATAATAACTGTCTCAAATTGCTACAATGGGAGGTCATGATAAGGGAGGGAGGAGTCAGATAGTTGCAGGATTGAGTTATATTCTTTATTCCATGGGATTTTATTCAAGACAGCAGAGTAGCTATGTAGAGGTTTTCTTGCGTATCTGGTAGGAATTGTGTCTCTCTTTGGCTAGCTATACTTGATCCTCCTTCAGCGATATTATGAAGTCCTTTCCAGCCCAATATTTGTATGATTCCGTAATTCCAATTATCTGAGCTGATTAATTTTTTATCAAGAAAAGTGGTATAAAACCCCTGACTACATAGGTTTCTATTATCACCAGGTTGATAATGTATATCACAAAGTTTCTGTCTGTGATTTGAATATCTTGAGTAGATATCCATATGAATCCTAAGGCAAGATCCCATGGCATTGCATTTTAGGTTTCTTTGCTCTTTGGTTTTAATCTCTAATGAATACTAATGTATTTCCCTTTTCTTAAATATTAAGTGCTTTAGTTGGGGATGAGAATTCTGCTATTTCTGAGTCTGGTTTACTTTTGCAGAGCTGGGAGTTTGGAATCCCCTTGTGCAGAGAGCTAGCCATTCAGTATGAAAATCTTTATGATTATCAGAGCCTCAGCTGGATTCGGGTAAGTGAAATCAGCCCCTTTCCCTCTAAGCTCTTTATCCTTTCCCTAGTGAATACTGCTGCATTGGCAAAGGATTCTGAATTTAAAACCCCCAAGATACTACTTCTCTCACAGCTAACCTTACTCCTTTCTGAGAGTAGAAACAGACATAGCAGTTGTGCTGGCATCAAAAGGGTACATGACCTCTGATGCATGTTCCCAACTGAGTCAATTTTTTTCCAGTCTTTTTTTTTTTTGAGACCTAATGGTTAATGCCTTCTTTTTTAGAAAGGTTAATATACCACTATTTCATAGTTTCTATGAAACTATCTATGAAACTATGAAACCATATATCCTTGCATATACCTACACCTTTTCTCCCAGAATCAGCTAGGGAAAATTGGGGTGCACATTATATGCGAGGAAAAGGGCTCCCCACACATTGAAAAATTTCATGGTGGAGCAGATGAGTAGAGCACTGGCAGCATTAATTGTCACAGCTCTGGGTTTGACCCAGGACACGGCCCTGGACCCAGCATGCTAGGTCCAACCCCAGACACTGGCTGTGGAGCCACATATCAAGTTAGACCCAGCATGCAGCTCTAGAGCCAACATGCAGCCCTGGACACGGCGCTTGGAGTCAGTAAATGGGGTCAGATCTATTGCTTGCCTGACCAGACCCTGGTGTGCAGCCACCCAGCCGCAGCACATGAGCTCTGGAGACCCCAGACCTCAGGTTCTTACCTGTACTCCAAGGTAACGTTTTTTTTCTTCTTGAAGTCTTCCAAAATAGGATGTGTTATATTCTGAAGTATGTTATATGCAAGAAAATATGGTATTCAGGAGCTAAAACCAGCATCTTAACTCAGAGTTCTGTGGCTGAGCCAAAACTGCCTTGTGGACAATGGTCCTGAAAGCCCACTGTTGACATATATGTCAGCTTTATTGTCATGGTACTGACGGGTGGGAAATAGAAGAGGAGGCTGTAAAGCTCTCTTTCCTTCCTCCAAACTGTTTTTCATCCCTGTTATACTTCTGCGTATCCAAAACTTCAAATGGTCTAGTCCAGCTCCACTTCAGTCTTTTTCTTGTCCTTAAGTTACCTGCTGCAGACAGTGGAGCTGATATGATATTTTGGCCAGAAGGTGCTGCAGAAGCTACACTTTTGGAGAGAATCTGGTTAGAACAGGGAAATGGTAGTCAAGAGACCTAGGTTCAAACCTCAAGGTTAACAGTAATTAGCTGCAGTTATGTATTCAGATTGTACGAGTAAATTTTCTTCCATTGGGGGAAAATAGGATTCTCTCTGTTTTTGTCTCCCAAAATGGGCTTGATTAAAATTAAATATTTCACTAAGATTTTGTTTAATTATTCAAATACTGTATAGTGCTTTGTAATCCTTTCATAAAAAGTACTATATTAATGCAAAATATTAAAAAGAGATACTATTGTGGTTTAAGATCCTGCAAGTGTAGCAACAAATCTCATATTGCTCACCCTTTCTATCCACAGAAAATGGAAGCTACGTATTTTGATAACATCATGGAACAGCAGCGCTTGGAACCTGAATTTTTCAGAGTTGGTTTTTATGGTCGGAAATTCCCCTTCTTCCTGCGGGTAAGCTGGTTTAATACAAAGTGCAACATAGCAACCTGGTTTTGTTGGGGAGAGGAATGTTGTGGCATCAGTTCTTCTGTCTAATGTTAAAAATAAGACTTGCTTGAAAAAGAACAACACCGATTAATCCAACTGGGAGGCATTTTGTCATTTCCACTGGGTTCTCTGCTGCCCTAGGGCTGTGTACTTTAATATTTCATGTTGCTTGTAACTCTCAGGAATAGTCAAGGATAGCTGCATCAGCACCTAACGTTTGGGACACTTGAAGCTGATTTGTGGTTTACATGCAAAGAGACTAAAAATAAACAGGCATAGAAAATTTTTAAACCCAGGAAGGTGACCATATTACATACTGAGTGCTGTGAGGTGTGTGCGGTTTGTTATGTCAGTTTTGTACCTACAGCAAAGAAACAGATAGCTTGTTACATCTGCTTCTGTAAAGCCAACTTGCAGGGTAAATTCAAGAAGTTGGACCATTGGGAATAGTTCTTGGTGAAAACAGATTTTCAAGTTCACAGAGTTGCAAACCCATATCAGAAGCCTGATATATGCAAATGTTACCTTTGAAAACCTGTTAGATTCAACTTAACTTCTTCACTAATCACAACACACTGTTGCAGCAACTCAGGCCTGTGTACTTACAGGCTTCCACCACTTCATATCACATCAAACTTACAAAAGCGTTGAATAGGATACAGAGCCTAGTACTGGGCTGATGGACTTTCGTTTACCTGTACATTAGAATTTTCAGATCTATTCAGCCACAAGTATAATAATTCACTAATATTGCTTCTTTTCTACTTGAAAAGGTATTGAGCCTGATTGTTTGCTGGTGTACATAAGATCATTTGAGTTTAATGTTGATTTTTAAGAAACAGGTATAACTCCTTATTCTAACAGAGAAACAACCCTAAAAGTGGGGTGGAGCTCTGTAGGCTTGCCCATACTGATTGTATTACTGATTCAGAGGTGTGGAGTTTTGAGTAGATACAGCCCTATCCAACTGTGTTGACAAGCTAGCTTGTTACAAGCATTCAGGTTCTCTTAAAGGGAAAGTATGGTAAGAGATGGCCAGAAGCATAGGACAAGAGGAGGACAAAGTCTTATTACAGTAAGTGTGTGGAGTTCCTTTGGTTAGTAATATACACGTTTTGTAGGTTTCACGTTTTTAAGGTGCAGATACTTTGGGAGAAGTTTGTACAAGAATTGAAATTGTGGTTTATAGGTCTTTTATAAGAAATGTATTTTATGGAGAGATTGAAGGCGAGGAGGCAGGTTTGAATTAGTCAGAAACAAAGGCATGAACTGCTGAAAAGTGGCATAGAAGAAGGGACAGAGATGAGATATGAGGCGGGAAACAAAATGGTTGCCAGGCATGCATTTTGAATGAGAAAAAGGAGCTTAAAGGAGGCAGAAAAATGGGAGTTGTAAATTTAAGCTAAACTGTGCGAGATCTTTATCGAGCTTGAATTTGTTGTGGAAGATGAGTAGGAGTGAGTGAAAAAATCAAAAGAGATTACAAGTGTTACACTACTGAAACAAAAAGATGATCAATAATGACAAGCATTTAGAAAATGTTACATGCCAAACACGATTTATCCAACTCAAGGACCATATAGAAAAACCTAGCAACATTAAAAAAGATAGCAACAAAATGCAGAATTACCAACCCTTTTATGGAGATCTTCAGAGAAAATTACCTCAGTGTCCCATTTTACAACTGGCAAGGAATATTTCAGGAAATGAGCAATAACCTAGTCAGCATAGCAGAGACAGCATGCCTAGGGTATAAAGCTCCATAAGATAATACCACCTGTCCTTCAATCATGGAAGCTTGTGGTTGGATAGTATGTATGTATAACAGTATTCATGATTTTTCATTGCACAACAATTATTCTTGGTTACATTCTGTAATTCAGTGTGGGTATTGCTGCTGCTGACATTAATGGCAAACAGAGTGTACATAATTATAATCTCCATTAATTCTGTAATTATATTCCATAGCAGTGTTTCTGATAGCAGATTAATAGTGTACCAATCTCAATAAAACTCACCCTCCCTCTTTCTCTCCCTAATGACCCATACTGTGTAGACATTTCAGAGACTGAGCCCATTAGCTATTGCATGTGCATAGATAATGTGATAATGTGGTTGTTGGAAGCTAATCTAAAAAAGAATAAGATTTTTATGGATTTCAAGTAAGACATGCATTCAGAAATGCTCAGTGATCAAAAGGTACCCAGTTCTTGTCTCTGTTTTTTGTGACTGCAAATGTTTAAAGCAGGAAATTACCTTGCTCCCTTCCAAATCTTCCAATTTATGGCAAACTTAATTTAGAAATTTCTTTGTTCCTGTTGCCATGAATTCGGCATCTATTTCTAGCTTGGCTATTTATGGCTAGCTAATTAAAACCCTGTGGGTGTGTCCAGATGAGTATGCACATGCAGTTTTCAGTGCCCACCTCAAATCTGTTTGAGGTGCAGCAAACCACATAGTGCACATATACCCATTCACCATGCTGCTAATTAGATCCCAGCGGAAAAAAAACTAACTGCCACTAAAAGCAGTGTGGTACATGTACCAGCAGTGCCTGCTGCCAGAAACAGCGCCTGGCCAGCTAGAGCCATTTTCTGGCTGCCGCCCATGCTCCAAGCAGCTGGCTTGGCAGTGCTGGTGCCCCAGGAGACCCCACAGGACACCAGGTAAGGCTTCTGGGGCCCCTCTCCCACCCAAATGAGTTTGCCATGCACTGGAGAGCACGTGCAGGGGTGTACCCTGGTACAAAAAGCAGCAGCACGTATTTGTCCTGTGGAATACACGTACCACTGCATGTGCACGCTCATCTAAGTGCACCCTATCTGGTTTCTGTATTACACAAGTTCATGTAGGGCCTGCCAAACCACATTTTGAGAGTTTTCATTGGCTTCTGCAGGGAATAATCTTTATTAAGTGTACCTCTGGTGTTTTCAGGGCATTATTTTTTTAATCACAATAATTTGATATATAGGCTTAGAATATCCTGGACTGATGCAATCAAATGCAAAACTAATTGCATGTCATTAGGAGACTCATCTTTAGGATATGGACCTGCTCCAAAGTTGATAAAGTTGGGAATATTGAGCATTACACAGAAAAACAGTCCTGACCATCAGGTAATACTCTTTCCAGTTCACCAGTTGGACTAATGGATATGTGGCATATGACATGTCACAGTTAGATGTTTATATTTGGTATTTTTGCCAATACAATAGACAAGAAGGCAAGTGATAAATACTTATTTTGCCAGTTTTGGTCCAAAGTCAACAACCCGTGCTGAAAGTCAACAGTCTTTATTTGTATTCTAGTGCTTACAGCATAGTGCTAGATCTGTCATAAACACTTGAACAAGCCTATTATTTTCATTGTGTTGGGGTGATGTTGTAGCTGTGATGGTCCAGGAATTATGTGAGAGGCAAGGGTTTTGTGGGTAACATCTTTATAGGGCCAACTGCATGGTTGGGATAAAGTTGGACAAGGTTTTAAATGCAATGCATCCTTATTAAGGTCATCAGATGACCTGATGAATAATGTTTTGCATTTGAAAGCTTGTCTAACTTTATCTCAGACATGTAGTTGGTCCAATAAAAGATATGACCCACAAACATCCTTGCCTCTTGTATAATTTTCATTGCTAATTTTTATACTTTTTAAAGTTCAGATACTTTAAATAAAACATTTACATTTGCCATAGTAGGAACAAAAACACTTATTTAATGTATTAGCAGTTTGTTTTTGTGTATCTTGTATATTTTGTTATCACAAGTATAAGGCATAAGGCCCAGACACACCACACATTTACCTTCGTGTTGGAAAGAAGTGGACATCTGACATGTAGGATACAATGATGTTGCGTGTTCCAGTGTAGAGTTATCCCAGGAAAAACATCATTAAAATATATCACTGTAAGGTAAACTGATTAGGAGTCTTGCATCCATGGTTATCTTGAGATGGCTGTTTGTTCACTGCAAGCCTTCATCTCCACCTGGTGGTAAAATACCATAAAAGTGCCTATGCAGCACCTACCCTGAGATAGCTATCTGTCTGCTTTGGATCCCAGTATAATTTACATTAGTATATGAAACCATTGTGAATTACTTGAGTGTTAATGTGCCACATGTCCAGGCTCATATTTTAGCTCCATTTATTCTGTGACTGGAGGAAAAAGCACCCATACATCAGCCTCACCTCAAGGAGAGGTTAAAAACATTAAAAACATGCCTTTTGCCATTGCAACCAACGTACTAGTGAAACAGTGCTGTTTTTCTGTCAGACTTTAGTGGCCTTTCATCACCTTTTGTCCTTTTCAGACTGTTCAGACAGGTAATCACTGCTAACACCCTAAGGAATTTTGTCTCTCAATGAAGGTTAGTGTCACGGGGTGGGCCCTACGGGCGGCCGTGAACCCGCTAGCGCCCCCTGCCGTGCCAAATTAGGAGATCCAGCACCCTCTTATTCTCGCCCGCCACGTCTTTGCTGATATATAATTTAATATGGGAGGCTGCCTTTGGTCTCCTAGTCTCTATGGGTGACCTGGTGCACCCCAGCCTTATGGGCTATGCGTGCCTCCTACCTCCCCTTCAGCACGCCCCAAGCCTTGCAGCTATTCCAGATGTTGTCTAGTCCCTCGTGCCTTGCCTGGCACCTTGGGCTTGTCACGCAACCCACGTCCTTCCTCGGGCGCCCCTGGGCTTGTCACGCGACCGACGCCCCTTGCTCTAGCGCCCCTGTGTTCGCTAGCCCTCGCCCCTCTCTGGGGCCTACTCATGGGTTCACCCTTCTTCAGGCTCTGTTGCCCACGTCGGCCCGCCTCAGGCCTCCACCCACGCGCTCGCCCTACTCCAGGCCTCTACCCGTGCGCCCTGCCCTCTCCAGGCATCCTCGTCCTCACCGGATGCTCTAACCTTATACATGCCCTTCTCCGGGCTTCTAACCGCGCCTTTCTCCTCCTGGCCCCGATCCAC